CGCGCCGCCGCCCACTCTCGAGCCGCCACACCCACGGCCGCCGATGCCCAGGTGAGCGCCCGCCACTCGGCACGGTCGAACCGTCGCAAGTCAGCGCAGCGATGCGCTCGCCCAGACGACAGTCGGAGCCAGGCCAGAAGAACACCCCGCAAGAACAGCAGGCCCTGCATCAGCCAGATCACGCAGAACAGCCAAGGGTGCCCGCCCCAGGATGCACGAGAAGGAACATCAGGGCACTCCGGGATGTCATACTTAAGGGGGGGGTACATTTGAGGGGGGGAGGGTCTGGTTGAAGCTGTCTGGGCCAGAGGTCCTGGGGGGGGGTTATCGCTTTGTTCGCCGCGGCGGCCCTCTGGGGGGGGGGGGTCTGCATCGCTTCGCCTGGGCACGCCCAGAGGGAGGGGGGGGCTATTTCTTGGTGCAGGCCCTCCCCGACGGGGGGGGGTCTAAAATGGCTCGCCTCGGAGGTTTGTGACGCCCCCCGTTACACGTCGGTCGGAAGAAGTAGGTAGAAACATGAAGCAGGAGGGCGGATACAGCAGATTGGGCCCGGGTCCTCCCAGAGAATGACAGAGCCCGGCAAAAGCATGCCGATCCTTGAAGTGGGAGGGCGCCTGAAGCAGATTGGGATCTGGGAATCCAGAACTGCCTGCTTTCCACGACCGGCGTGCAGTACACCCTGCGAAATGCTTTAGAAATCATGGGATAAGAAATTCATAGTCTCAGAACTTGAACAAAAACCCAAGATTTCTATCAAAATCTTAGGATTTACATTGAAACATTAAGAATAATCGAGACTCTGGTCGAAAACTTGGGTTTTCTTAAGCATCGCCTAGAGTGTATGAAATCCGGAGTGCCCTCCCAGAGCCGGCCCCGATCCCAGACCTCGGCCCGACGGCACGGTCGGTGCCGAGGCGCTCGCTGGCGCTCGGGCCGCGAGCGGCGGCCCGAGGTGCGAAGGCAGGCTGCCCGCACGGCCGCTCTCCCCACGAGCCCCCCGTTCGCTCCCGCAGCCGCCTCCGGCAGAGGATCGATGCCAACGGCCCAGGTCCTCGTTTTCTCGTTCGGCGTTTCGACTTTGGGCGGAGGGGGGGAAGGGGGGGGGTCTGGCTCAGCGCGACCGTGTGCAACAGTGCCTCCCTTATGGGGGAGGCTCCACCTGCTCGAAACGGGCGCCGAGAGCAGCCAAGATCTACTCCATGGAGGGGGGGGGAAGAGGGGAGGGGTACGACGGCACGCGCCGATCGGCAAAACAATGAATAAGAAAACGATCACCAGGCCACTACAGTTAGGTCGGGCATGTCCCCCTACAGGCGGAGTTGGGACGAAAACTAAAAAATAGTCAACAAAATACTCAAAAAAAAACAAGAATACTAAAATCGTTCCCGGACTATGTTTTTTTACTATTTTTGCACTGTCCTCCTGTAGAGGGACAGGCCCGAACCAGGACCCCCGACGTCATGACTTTTTGTTCGTGGCGCCGACCCCAGAGGTTTCGACCCCTTCCCCGTGACCGGGCTTTCATCCTGAGTCTTCAGTCGGGCACGTCCCTCTACAGGAGGAATAATCAATTACCCTGGCGACGTACCCAACCCCTGCGCAATGCGGGGCATGAGTAGCTTGGGAGACGTTATACGGAGGTGATGACGTGACATGGGCGCATATACCTCTGCGAGCGGCATTCGTGAGGCTCGCAGCCCCCCAAGGATTGCGATGCCTCGCTCAGATCTGCCTGGTGCCTTGCCCCGCTGAACCCGCCACCAGCCTTCCAAAGTTGCAACGGTTTTGCAGATCGCAGCCCCCCAAGGACGGCGAGGCCCCGCTCAGATCTGCGCGGTGCCTCACTCCGCAGGACCCGCCAGCAGTCTTCGAAAGTGGCGACAGTTCCGCCGATTGCTATGCTGCCCCCCCAAGCACCCCTCGAAAGTTGCGACGGTCTCGCAGATCGCAGCCCCCCAAGGACGGCGAAGTCCCGCTCAGATCTGCGCGGTGCCTCACTCCGCAGGACCCACCAGCAGCCCTCGAACGTGGCGACCGTTTCGCAGATCGCAGCCCCCCAGGGACGGCGAGGTCCCGCTCAGATTTGCGCGGTGCCTCACTCCGCAGGACCCACCAGCAGCCCTCGAAAATGGCGAAAGTTTCGCAGACCGCAGCCCCCCAGGGACAGCGAGGTCTCGCTCAGATCTGCGCGGAGCCTCACTCCGCAGGACCCACCAGCAGCCCTCGAAAGTGGCGACAAATTCGCAGATCGCAGCCCCCCAGGGACAGCGAGGTCCCGCTCAGATCTGCGCGGTGCCTCACTCCGCAGGACCCACCAGCAGCCCTCGAAAGTGGCGACAGTTTCGCAGATCGCAGACCCCCCAGGGACGGCGAGGTTCGTCAGAATCTGCGCGGGTTTGCCTCATCCGCAGGACCCACCAGCAAGCCCTTCGAAAGTGGCGACTAGTTTTTCCGCAGATCGCAGCCCCCCAGGGACGGCGAGGTCTCGCTCAGATCTGCGCGGTGCCTCACTCCGCAGGACTCACCAGCAGCCCTCGAAAGTGGCGACAGTTTCGCAGATCGCAGCCCCCCCGGGATGGCGCGCTACAATCTGAGTCTGCGGCGAGTACCCACTACGCTGGCCCTCCCAGCAGCCCTCGAAAGTGGCAACAGTTTCGCAGATCGCAGCCCCCAAGGGATGGCGCGCCATAATCTGAGTCTGCGGCGAGTGCCCACTATGCTGGCCCTCCCAGCAGCCATCGAAAGTGGCGACAGTTTCGCAGATCGCAGCCCCCCAGGGATGGCGCGCTACAATCTGAGTCTGCGGCAAGTACCCACTATGCTGGTCCTCCCCGCAGCCCTCGAAAGTGGCGACAGTTTCGCAGATCGCAGCCCCCCAGGGATGGCGCGCTACAATCTGAGTCTGTGGCAAGTAGCCACTATGCTGGCCCTCCCAGCAGCCCTCGAAAGTGGCGAAAGTTTCGCAGATCGTAGCCCCTCAGGCATGCCAGCTTCACATTTCGCAGGCACCACTGGCAAGAGAAGACGAGACGAGAGCACACAGGAGGCAGAAGGAGAAGGAGGAGAGAAGAGGAGGAGACGCGACCCAACTGCTCTCTTCAAAACAAGAACCCAACCGAGGAGGGTTGGGAAAAATAAACAACAACAAAAAAATGTGTGGACGATTGACTATTTCCCTACCTATCGGGAGCGGCCAAGAGGGGGGTGTCCAAGAGGGGGGGGTGCAAATCATGACCGACGGCATCTGCGCGGCCCAGCGGGGGGGCCAGGGACGCAATGAAACAAGCAGAGGCGCCCTGAGATCTGGGGAGATATCATGACCCCCGCCATGGTATCCGCCCCCCCCTAGTCATCACCCCCCTCTTTTCCGCCCCCGAACCTAGGCTCTGCCTAGAAGGGTTCTTACTCTCTTGGCTTAAAGGGGCCGGGCAGTGGAAATCGCCCCGGGCGGTTCCCCCAGTCCCCTGGGAGCCAAGCAAAAGCAACAGCAAAGGTAAAAGCAAACGCGCGGTTC